AAAAAAAGGCTCAATTGATCTAATAGAGGTATTCCACCGTCACGGGTGGGACATATGTACAGTAAAAATGTACTTTCTTTTTTAAATTTAAGTATGAAGAACTCAAGAATTATAAATTTTGATAAAGCTACACCTAATTCACTTTTATATGAGTTATTGACAAGTACGAAAAAAATTCCAACTTACTTTTATATGGGAACAAATCTGAGTTATTTTTTCTGTCACGGGTGGGGCAATAAAAAAGAACCTGCTTTTTGGAACAGATATATTTTACGAAACTCTTCTACTTCACTTTCTATGTGAACTTGATGTCTTGAAATAAAAACAAGCAATTTTTAGCAAAAAAAAACGACTTCAATTGGCGCTATTTTTGCAGACCTTTGGGCATATTTTGGAAATTTTGAATTCCATCCCTGGGAGGGACACTTACGAATTTTTATAAGAAAAGGAGCTTTTAGTGTGGCTGCATTTTATATGAAAGAAAATGCCTAGCACCGCCAGCCAAAAAAAAAAGATATTAAAAATCAACGCGATTTCCTAGCGTCTTAATATTTTCACTTTTACCTACTTAAATTTTAAATTTTATGGGCTATGAAACTGCATAGCTAGAGGTTTTCGAGAAGTTGTAAATAAAAAGTTTAAAAGTTTTTGGTCTAATTGTTAAAGTATTATTTTTAAATTTTTATAATTTTTGTACGAAGTTTGAAAGGTGGATTTATGTGGTGCTGGTTATATAATGTGCTAGATTAAAAAAAAAAACGATAAACATTAAATGAGCAAACGAAAAAAACGCCAAAACTGATCAAAATTTCACTTAACCCTCATCGCCTCATTGTGTACAACCATGCACAGTTTTTATACCTTTCATGAGCATGAAATGGTATTATAACATTGGTCCGATGTTTGTAAGTACCAGAATAAGAAGAGATAGATCCATTAAAATGTAGACTTAAATGATCAGAACGGCGAGCTGACTCGATTTAGCAATGCCCGTCTGTCCGTCTGTCTGTCTGTCTGTCTGTCCGTCTGTTTGTATGCAATCTAATCTCTCAGTTTTCGAGATATCTGGATCAAATTTGGTAGGTGGGTGTATTTTTATAATGTATTAATCATTTGTCGGAACCGGAAGAATCGGGTCACTATAACCTATAGCACTCATACAACTGACTGTTCAGATATAAGATTTTGCTTTATAACTCCTCCATTTAAGTTGCTAGGCACATGCACTTTTGCACTGTTGTCACTCATTATAAAAAGAATACTTTCAGTGAAAATGGCGAAGATCGGGTCGCTATAACCTATATCCACCATACAACTGATTGTTCAGATATGGAGTTTTTGCCATAACTTCTTCATTTATGCAGCTAGGAACAGAAAAATATCGTACCGTTTTCACTCATTATTAACAGAATACTTACAGTGAAAATAACAAAGATCAGGCCCCTATAACATATATCTCCCATACAGCTGATTCTTCAGTTATGAGAATTTTCGTTATAACTCCTCCATTTATGCACCTAGGAACATGAAATTTTGCAATACTTCCACCCATTAACAACAGAATATACAGTGAAAATAACAAAGATCGGGTCACTTTTACATATAGCTCAAATACAACTGATTGTTCAGATAAGCGATTTTTTGTTATAACTCCTCCATCTATGCAGCTAAAAACATGAAATTTCAAACTATTTTCACTCATTATAAACAGAAAGTTTACAGTAAGATTAACAAAGATCGGGTCACTATAACCTATTTATTGCCTCCATACAACTGACTGTTCAGATATGGGGTTTTACTGTAAAACTTCTTTATTTGGACAGCTAAAACCGATAAATTTCGTAAGCTATTTTCTAAATGATAATACAAAGTCTACTGAGAAAATCGTCAAAATTTATGCTGTATGAGCTTTATCTCTTATACCACTGATTGTTCTGATACCAGTCTTTGCGATATATCTCCTTTATGTAGGAAGCTAAACCCATTAAGTTGTATTACCGGTTTACGTACCGAACACACAGCAGTGAAAATCACTTAGATTGGTGCAATATAAGGTATATCTTCCATACATATTGTGTAGATATGATTTTTTATATATGTATCTCCTCTATCTATGCCTGCTGTGAATATATAAATTTATTCAAATGCAGTAATCTGTTAAAGTAAAATTTTCAGATGCTCATGAAAGGTAAAAAGCCTTCGGCATAGCCGAAGACAGCGCTGCTCTTACTTGTTTTTTTTTTTAAGTTTGCCAACATTTTAAAATCATACAAAATTGAGAGTAAAAAAAGGAATCGTTCAAAGTTGTTGTTCCAGATTAAAAGTGAGAATGTGTGTGTGAGTTTGTGTCTAAAATTTCAAAATTAAAATGCTTGCAAACGTCAAGAATATGAAAAATTCCTCTCAGTGGTTCTCCCTTCTTATTTTTTCATCGTGGAAAGACCGATCCGCAGCGAAAAAATATCAAGTTTTGTAAGTATTTTTTTTTTTTAATTTGCTTGCGTATTTGCATATAATTTAGCAGATCGGCAAATGATAAAAAAAAACTGCTACGAAAACAAAAAATGGCGTCCATGGTCTATTTGACAGTTTTACTAGTTTTTACCCGAAAAGAGTTGCCGTATTTTTTGGTTTCTCTGAGAGCAATTATGCTTTTTGACAGTTTTATAGGTTTTTTTCTTGATAAAAACATAACAAGGTAAAACCATTGAGAAGCAGTCTGACGGTTGCCAGCAATATAATTTCAAAATTTACCACTGATATAACTTATATATAACTAGCAACCAAAATGACAGCTGGACAGCCGGTTCTACGTACCGAAATGACTCGGGTTTTACCAGACCACAAGGGCTGTTGTTTCGGCGATCTAAGCCCGTTTAGGTCGGCGAAATCCGTCAAAAGTTGCTCTATTCTAGGGCTACATCTTCTGCTCAGGGCTGGCATTGAGTCCAACCCAGGAACAGAAACTTACACCTGCTGCGTAGGCCAGAGACGACTGCACACAAACTCCACCTCGGTCAGGTGCAATGCCTGTGACGGGTGGAGTCACCTCCGCAACTGCTCGGGCTTACGTACGCACCGGCAATGGACCACGTCGTTCGTGGCCCCATGCTGTGGAAACCGGACCGCCTCCACGGCAAACCACCACCCGCCCGTTCAGCACACAACCTACACACCCACACCCCAACACAACACAACAATAGATACGCACACAAACACAATAGCACGCACATACTGCCGCCGGCAACTCCTAGTCCCTCCAACAATCAGCTCGGTTCGCCAGTCCAGAATATACTGTAACGTGACATCAGTCAAGTGCAACTCCTGCCTTGGCTGGTGCCACTTTAGGGCATGCTGAGGAATTCGCAACACGCGTGATTTGACGAGTGACTATGTGGGTCCCTGCTGTGCTGCCCAATCGCATACCTCCCCCGCGACGCCGCCAACCACCATAACAAGGCAGCTCGTACAGCTGGGTGCCGGCAGGCAACACAACTCCTTAACAACACACTGTCTTTATGGGAAGGCATGGAATATTAATAGCTGCGGCCCAAGTGATGAAGTTGCACGGCAATTGAAACTTGTTGAATTGCGCCGGATACAACGTGCACCGTCGAGATCGCGAGCGAGACAATGGTGGAGATTTAGCGTTCATCACGCGCCACACTGTGCAGTATCGTCTTATTGAAGCAGACATCGATACCATCCTAGAATGTCAGGGTATTGCTATCCGCTCAGGCGATGCTGAGATCGAAATATTTAACGTATACTTACCCCCTGTCACCAGCTGCCCGGCAGGATATCACCCTGAAATAGGTGCGCTACTCACAGGTGAAAACCGTATGGTAGTTGGCGAATTTAACGCGCACCACGATATTTGGCACTCAAGCCTGTCAAATGGTCGTAGGGAATACACCTGGCTGAGCAGATAGACGATTCGACATTCCGCACAATGAACGACGACGCACCCACCAGGATTATGGGTGGAGTCACCAGATGCTGCAGCCTGCCAGATCTAACAATTGTCAGCGCTGGTCTGATCAACAGCGTACCATGGCACCTATGCTGACCCTAGCATTAGACCATCTGCGCATAGTCATCTCGATTGATAAACCTGCCGACTTTGCTTCCGTGGATCACTGGACCTATGTCAACTATTCCAAAGCTGACTGGAAAGGCTTACCAACCAACCAACGTCGACATAGGTGAACGTAAATTCCGCAGGGTTGTTACTGTTGCTGCAGCTCGCTTCATCCCAGCAGGATGTATTAAGGATCCACCTGACAACCTTCGTCAGGCCGATCCCAGAAATGCCCGTAGCAGGGATCTCAATTCGTACATAAGCGGAAGAAATGGGCTGAACATTTGAAGACCTGCAACTTCGCCTATGATGTGAGTAAGCTTTGGTCAACCGTGAGGTCGTTGTCCAACCCGACGAAGCGTGACGACAGAGTCGAAATAGACTTTGGTGATCACGCTTCGTCGGACCCTTAGCGATGCGCGAGCTATTTTAGCCGGCAGTTCATTCTGCATCCTCCAGTGGATAAAGCCAAACATTTGGAAGGCGAAAGCCTCCAAAGCCATGAACCCGGCGGAATATGCATGTTGATGCTGAAAAATTTGGGTCCTGCGGGAGTAGCGAACCTAACGGAGGTCCTCAACTTGTCTATGGCCACTCTCGTTATCCCAGATATGTGGAAGATGGGAAGAGTAATCCCACTATTCAAACCGGGGAAACCAGCCTACAAAGGAGAGTCTTATCGCCCGATAAACCTCCTTTCCCCGGTAGCGAAGACACTAGAGGCCTTTCTACTTCCGTATTTCACGAACCACCTGACCCCAGCGAAGCATCAGCATAGGTTCCGTAAAGAGCATAGCACAACAACAGCACTTAACGCCATTAACACTCAGATAACTCGTGGCCTTAACCGAAACCGCCCCTGTGAGAGAACTATTCTAGTAGGTTTGGACCTGTCCAAGGCGGTCGACACCGTCAGACATTCAACGCTGCTAGAAGACATAGAGGCCTCCTCTCTCCCACAGGGACTCAAACGGTGGTCGGCGAATTATCTGAGTGGTCGACATTCGTCAGTAATTTTCAGAGATAAAACCAGCAAGCCACGTAAAATTAAACAGGGGGTACCACAGGGGGTGTCCTGTCCCCACTACTGTTTAATTATTACATCTCTAAGCTTCCTAAACCACCAGAGGGTGTCAATATTGTCTCTTATGCTGACAATTGTTCGATCATGGCGTCAGGAAATGGAATTGATGACTTGTGCTCGAAAGTAAACGGTTATCTCGCCGAACTTTCCCGCTTCTTCACTGCAAGGAGCCTTGCCCTATCCCCTGCGAAATCCTCGGCAACCCTAATCACCACCTGGACGAAGGAGGTCAGACTGCAACTGGGTATTCACGTTGATGGCGTAACAATACCGGCGGTGAATAACCCGAAAATTCTCGGAGTTACCTTCGACAGTCTGCTCACCTTCTCGGTGCATACAACCCCAATTGCCAATAAAGTACAGAGCCGCAACAATGTCGTCAAGCCGCTGGCCGGCAGCACTTTAGGCAAAGATAAAGAAACATTGTTGGCAACATACAAGGCAATTGGCCGGCCGGTTTTAAACTATGCAGCGCCCGTGTGGTCGCCGGGGACTAGCAGGACGTAGTGGATGAAGCTACAGACCTGCCAAAACACGGCACTACGAACAGCGACCGGATGCCTCCTGATGATGCCCCAACACCACCTACACGACGAGGCCCAGGTGCTCCCAGTCAACCAGCTTAACATAATGCTCTGCAAGCAGTTTCTTGTGGGGTACCACAGACGTGACCATCCCAGCAAACAGATGGGTTCATTAAACAAGCTCTGTCAAGCCCGTCAGCCTACCGACCGGCGCTGAGCGGCATTTACAGGGAATCAGTCTCGAGTTATGTAGACTCTGCACATGCCCTGAGAACCCCACCCAGCTGACGCCCTGTCCTTATAGACAGACCCTGTGGAAGTCGCACACTTCCTGGGTCTCCCCTTAGCTGAAACAGACGACAACGTTGACTGAATTCCTGAAATGTGCGTGTACCGAATGTACGTTCAAATTTAAGAAGCTGAAGAGTACGTACAATTCACTATCCACTTGTTCGCTTCTTCCACTTCTTCTTAAAAATTATTCTTTACTCTCTCATTCTCATAGTATTGTGACACACAATTGCTCTCAGCTCGATTGGCGCAATCTTATATTCTATCATTTTGATCGCGAAAAATCTCCAAAAGAATATCAGGCACGCCTAACAACATACATCACCTAGTTACATGCATCTCATACTACCAGCTTAGGTTGATTACACATTGCATCTGTTACTTTTATGTTACGTGCTTCTAAGCCCCACTGATTTTCATTTATAGAATTTTGGCGATGGAAATTTAGCTGGGAAATTGTCAGAATTCCACTGCAGATCTGTTCTAATTGGTTCCTGATCCAACCTTCTATTATTGAATCATGATTTCAGTTCTTCTTAAATTTCGAACTAGGTCGTTATTTTCAATGAACTATGTATTTCAATGAACGATAGTTCTTGTACTACCCAAATTTAGTACTTTCCCTTTTTGTTTTTACCTGACATTCGTAAATAATTCTTTCATATTCATCAAGTCAAAATGGATGAAAATATACAAAAATTACAAAATTATATTATATCTCCGGATTTATCAATACATAATCCTTTGCCTGAAGTTGTACCTCGACGCTTTGATGAAACGCGTCTTTTACATTTACCGAAAGGTGCTGCCAGCACCAAATTAGTGCCACGTCGCGACTTCGTAACCGGCGAGATTATAGAATTCGTCGAAGTAGACTTGGAAGATGTTGGTGCCAACGCATGCAACTCCACTTCAATGCGCCGGGAGCCTGGGCTTCTAGAGGAAGCAACACGCGGATCAGCTATGAATTTTCCTTTTTGGCCGGGTGGATTAGATGAACCGCCAAGGGAAATCAAAAAGCTAAGCATTGATCTGGACTTTGGCACAGAACTGTTGACCCTGCCGCCAGGATTTCAAAAAGGCTACAATTTCGACACCAACGTGGAAACACTTTCCCCTGGTTCAATTTTGGTAAGCAATGATAAAGTAAATCTGCTGGAAAATTTAGAAAAGGATCTCGATGTTCAAGAGTGGCTTAAGTTGGCGGAACAACCAACGGAAGCTGATTCGGTCACAGTTCTTGATAACTCAACAGAATTCAGAGATGTAGAAGAGCAAATTATGAATGCCGACCTTAAGCCAGTATTGGAAATCTCAAACACAGACACAAAGTCTGCTTTCAGTAGTGAATGGGCTGAAATGGTTGATATCTCGCATCCTATTGCTAGTTTCAAAGAGAAAATTCCATGCCCTGCCATGACCTACCCATTTGAGTTGGATATTTTCCAAAAACAGGCAATTCTTAAATTAGAAGAACGTCAATATGTCTTCGTAGCCGCGCATACGTCTGCCGGTAAAACAGTAGTGGCAGAATATGCTATAGCCCTTTCGCAACGCGATTTAACGCGTACAATATACACTTCACCCATTAAAGCGCTGTCTAATCAAAAATACCGAGACTTCAAAAAAACTTTCAAGGATGTAGGTCTGATAACTGGCGATCTACAAATTGATCCCACTGCTTCCTGCCTTATTATGACTACGGAGATTTTACGCTCCATGCTTTACTGCGGTAGTGAAATAACACGAGATCTCGAATATGTTATTTTTGACGAGGTACACTATATAAACAATCCTGAACGTGGTCATGTTTGGGAAGAGGTAATACATGTTTGTTTGAAATTTGACTTTAAATTATTTGTTTATTTTTAGGTGATAATACTTCTTCCCGACCATGTGAATATAATTATGTTGAGCGCTACAGTACCGAATACAATGGAGCTAGCTGATTGGGTTGGCAGCACCAAAAAAAG